TCCCGTGCAGCTGCCCTATGCCGACGGGAGAGAGCTCTCCCGTCAATGTAATTAAACCATCCCCAAAGAGTAGCGGTAGCTATGTCAGCAGGAGAGCGTCAGTCACACAGACAGTGAGCTGCCCCATTCAAGGCACAGTCTCTGTCCTACACAGCCCGTCAGTCACACAGACAGCGAGAGCTGCCCCTATTTAGGCACGGTCTCTGCCCTGCTCCAAATTAATGACTGACATATTCTCTCCTGCTCTGGCTTCCCAAAGGGAACGTTTTGAACATGGCTGGGCCCTTTTCCGGGATTTCTCCTGGCCTACCCTGGGAGGTGGCCAAAGCCTTGGGTGGCTTGGAGTAAGCTCTGCCCTGCTCACTCTAGTCTGCGTCTAGCTCCAATTAATGCGGCGTCCCAGGGGGACATTCCTGCCATGGTGGGTGGTCCTACACCTGCAGGCTGGTCTGTGAGGCAATGTGAGCCTCTTCAACTGAACAGAGGTAGCTACTGCTTGACATGTCATCCATCTTGGAATTCTCAAAACTACGATACCCACACAAGGAAATAGAGAAACAAATCAACAGAGCCAGACGTGTACCCAGAAGCCTCCTGCTACAAGACAGGCCCAAAAAAGAAACCAACAGAACTCCACTGGCCATCACCTACAGTCCTCAGCTTAAACCTCTCCAACGCATCATCAGTGATCTACAACCCATCCTGGACAATGATCCCTCACTTTCACAGACCTTGGGAGGCAGGCCAGTCCTCGCCCACAGACAACCCACCAACCTTAAGCATATTCTCACCAGCAACCACGCACCGCACCATAACAACTCTAACTCAGGAACCAACCCATGCAACAAACCTCGATGCCAACTCTGCCCACATATCTACACCAGCAACACCATCACAGGACCTAATCAGATCAGCTACAACATCACCGGCTCATTCACCTGCACGTCCACCAATGTTATATATGCCATCATGTGCCAGCAATGCCCCTCTGCTATGTACATTGGACAAACTGGACAGTCACTACGCAAGAGGATAAATGGACACAAGTCAGATATCAGGAATGGCAATATACAAAAACCTGTAGGAGAACACTTCAACCTCCCTGGCCACACAATAGCAGATGTAAAGGTAGCCATCTTACAGCAAAAAAACTTCAGGACCAGACTCCAAAGAGAAACTGCTGAGCTCCAGTTCATTTGCAAATTTGACACCATCAGATCAGGATTAAACAAAGACTGTGAATGGCTATCCAACTACAGAAGCAGTTTCTCCTCCCTTGGTGTTCACACCTCAACTGCTAGCAGAGCACCTCACCCTCCCTGATTGAACTAACCTCGTTATCTCCACACTGATTTATACCTGCCTCTGGAAATTTCCATTACTTGCATCTGAAGAAGTGAGGTTCTTACCCACGAAAGCTTATGCTCCCAATACTTCTGTTAGTCTCAAAAGGTGCCACAGGACCCTCTGTTGCTTTTTACGGATTCAGACGAACACGGCTCCCCTCTGATACTTGACATCTTGGCATTGTTGCTCCTGAAGGACTACTGGCCTGCCAGGGGCCAACAGAGCTGTGCTGGGTGGGCTGTGTTCATTCCTTCTCAACAGGCCCCACTAAGGCTATGCCTACACTAGAGACCTGTACCGGCTGCACCGCTGTAAGGTCTCCCGTGTAGCTATGCTGATGGGAGAGAGATCTCCTGCTGGCGTAATTAAACCACCCCCAAGGAGCAGCGGTGGTACTCTCCCACCGACATAGCACTGTCTGCACCGGCGCTTCTGTCGGTAAAACTTATGTCACTCGGGGAGTGGTTTTTTCACACCCCTGACCAACAAAAGTGCTGCTGTAGACATAGCCATAGGGTTACTGGCCTTGAGCAGCTGGGAGAGGCCTGGGTCCAGGCTGCAGGAACTTCCTTCTGTGCCTCCCACTGCAGGATAGACCGTTCTAACATGGCAGGTGCTGGTCATGCGGCTGGACAGGCTGCTTCAGATTCATCTGCAATTTTCAGTCCTGCATTGGAGCTGGCAGAGTGGGCTACAGAGCTATCTATCTTCCACCTGAGAGTGGTATCTGCTGCCCAGCACTGTAGTATCTGAGTGCCTTCCACATCGAATTGACAGCAAAAGCAGTCCCCAGTGGACTCCATGGAGTCTCTGGCTCTTCTCCCTTTACAGGGTGAAAACTCCGCCTCAGAGAGGCTTTGGATTGTTTTAAAATGTATTAATTTACCTTTATTTTTTAAAGTTGATTTGTGTCAAGGTTTTTGTTTGTTCAAGGATGGCAGGTTGTTTGGGATAAGAGGGGTGTCCACGTTAATGAAAGCTGCAGTGTGATATACTTTCTGCAGCCCGTTCTACTTAGGGGTTGGGCTGCTCTTGTCAAGGTAGAGGGAGCTGCAGCCACCAGCCTGGAGATGATGAACTTGTCAGCTGCCAGGGCCTGGTCTTCATCCAAGAAGAATGGACAGAGTCAGCCTGTCAGGTGGAGATGTTTTTAATGAATACTGAGACAGGGTCAGGCTGGATACTACATTAACTACTGGAGGGTGATGCCCCCAACTGAGGAGAGGTGGAGGTGGTTAACAGCTCCTCAGAGCAATTGCTTATTCTGACTGGTATAACTTAGGTCTTTCCTAGACTTAGTTTAGCCCAGCTGCTCCTCAGGCACTACAATCTTCCTCTGGCCCTGCATTACCTGGGAGATATTGGGGTCTGATCTGGACACAAGGATCCATACAGCAGTGTTCTACTGGCATACTGCTGACACCACCACCTTTGGGAGCAGTTTCCAGAAGCTCTGAGGGACACAACACAGCCAAATACCCAGAGACAGCTGCACATCAGCACCATGTGGGGCCGGTTGGGAAGGAATGAACAAGGCCCACACAGCGCCGTTCTGTTGCCCCAGCAGGACAGGTAGGCCGGTCAGCTGTACTTCAGGAGCAATACTGCCAAGGCAGACAATAGATCGAGTAGTAGCTGCTTCGGCATCTCATCTGTGTCCACTGTCAGGTCATCGGTCCTCAGTGTGGCCAGCATGGCTCTGGTTCCATGGCCTGGCCTAGACCCACCCGGGACGGATCTAGGGCCTCAGCAGAGGCAGGTGCTGCTGGAATCGGTTCCTGCCACCCCCTTGACAGTTGTGCCAGGATGCGGTGGTCAGTGCTGGGGCAGGTGTTTGTAAGGACCTCGGCAAGAAGGGCTAGGATCCAAGGACCACAGGCCAGGGCATCTGCCAGAGGATTTTGGTAATTTCTCTCAGCAGAAGGCCCAGGTGTTCCCTTGCTGACCTTAAGCACCTGGGAAAGGCTTGGGTCCAGGCTGCAGGGACTCCCTTCTATGCTCCCCTCTGCAGGACAGACCTAGTTCTGACACAGCAGGTGCTGGTCATGGGGCCAACACTGTTCTTCTGGAGAAGGATCTTCCAGTCTCAGTCACTGCCATGGCACAGGTTCAGCCAGATCCCTCCCCTGTCCAGGGATGTGGGGCTCCCACCTCGTCCTTGGGGAAACAGCGCCCTAGCCAGATGCATCCCCCATCAGAGAATATTCCCTCAGGTTCAGCATCACACCAAATCATCTCTCCCTCCCCGGTGCTTTGCAGGCTGTTATCCTCTCTCCCCCAACCCACAGTTACATGGATTTATTCGCTTTTAATCAAGGCCCCATGTGCTCTGAACCAGACAGACCTAAATTCTGCAACTCGAACCCTGCATTCTGCCGCTCTGCAACAGGAGGTTTGTGGCAGCTTCGTTTAAAAGACGGAACGGAGATCTGTAATTAATTCAGTAAAGAATGCAGACCCCCTGCAGCAGCTCTAGTGCTATTTGTTCTGATGGTGGATCCAAACGAGCATATGCTGTGCCCATGGTTTCAGTGGCCACTAGTGTTTGTGTACTGCTAAGAGAGCAGGATTGCAGAAGCACTAAAGGGGGTGAAGTGGCACCTGGAAGGGGAGAGAAGTGCTTTAGGAGTGTAAGAGAAGCACACGGGTCAGATGTTTCTGTTAAAATGGTCAGTAGTGAAACAGTTAACAATGTGGATATTTAACTCACTGTCTTTACGTTCCAGAGACAACACCCCACTGAGAGAAATGGGGCAGGTCTCCCCTCTTAGAGCAACTGTTACAGGCTCTTTGCAGACTCAGGCAGATATCACTGCACCAGTTACTCCCAAGTCACATGTTTAAGCTTTTCTTGACCATCGTAAGCATGGGACAGTTATTTTTTCTAATGGAAGCTGAAATTCTGGACTCCACAGAATGGCAGGTGCATGGGACCCTGCTTTAGTCTTTCCCACTAACTCAGCTCAGGTTCACTGCTCTTCTCTACATACTCTGATTGGTCTGGCACAGAGAGGTCCAGAGCGGAACACAACTTCCCATGGCTCTGGAGCTCCATTTCAGGCAGGAGCCCTTCAGCGAGCATAGTGTCAGAGCTGGCCAAAAGCTGCCACCTGTCTCTCCACAGGCACTGTCAGATCTGCTGTTTCCAGGGAGTTGCCTTCCTCTAAGGCAGCTCTGGGCCTGCTGCTTCCCCCACAAACAAGGGGAGAGAGGGTGGGATGCAGGGACCATATTATTCCTGAGAGAGAGGGCAGGGCAGGGAAGCACCAGCAACAGGCCTGACTGGTGATGGGGACAGGCAATGGAGGGAGAGAAGGACAGGAAGGAAACAGGGATGAGGAGTGTGAAGGGGGAGCAGTACAAGGGGAGGAGTGAGGAAGGTGAGCCTGAGGGACATACGGAAGGATGACCAAAGGGGGTGTCAAAAGAGGGGGAGGAGATGAGGGAACAGGGAGGGGGCATTGGGGGAGCTTCATTAATGAAAATTAGTACAAGAACAACTCTGACAAAAATAGACAAACTTCAGAACGCAGAAGGAAAGAGGAGGAGCCAGTTGCCACAGCGGCCTGGTCAAGGGTGGGGCCAGAACCCCTGACACAGAGAAAGGGCCAGTACCTCCCACACCCTGATTTCCAGTGCTGCTGCAGTCTCACCTCTCAGCTCCTGCAACTCTGCATTGAGGCTTTTGATGTTGGAGTCACAGAAATCCAGGTTCTCCAGGGTCTCTGATCTCACCAGCTCATCCTGCTGCTCCTCTAGCATTGAGTTCAGCTCAGCTCGAGTCTTGCCATAAGCCTCCAGGTCTTGTTCCACCTCCCGGATCCTTGTCAGCAGAAAGGGGCACTGACGTGCAGCTGCCCCATCTGAATCCCCCTGGCCCTCCTCTGCCTGTGGCTCCTGCCTGGGCTGGCTCCTGGGCTGAAGCTGTGGAGAGGCCGTGTTCCTTCTCTGACTGCTTGGAGGAGGGAGAGGGGCTGGCCGGGAGGGCCGCACTGAGAAGGAGGGAGAAACAGCTGGGGCGTTGGGGCGAGGAGGTGGAGGCCTTAGGCCCTTCCTCCTCTCCGGCAGCCTCCAGTGGGGGGCACACTCTGGGGAGCCACGCACAATGTCCTTCTCTGAACTGTAGTCCAGAATGGAGAAGTGTCGGGAGACCTTCTTGTCCGACTCAGCTCCGGAGCTAGTCAGGCTCTTCTCAAATTGCGCCAGCTGCTCTGTCAGCTTGGAGTCGAGGTCAGTGCAGCTGTCTCCATGCAGCATGGGCGAGGGCCGGTCTGCTAGGGCACCAGGCCATGTATCCAGGCCCTCGTGGGCACCACTGAAGCTGGAAGAGCGGGATTTAGATTTCTGCCTTTGATCTTCCACCCAGCTGGCCAGGTCCTGGAAAAGGGTGCTCCGCCGACCTTCTCCGGGCTCTGCCGCAGCCCAGCTGCTGGAAGAAGGGAAGACTTGTCTCCTGCTACTGCGCAGGGGAGAGCGTGGTGCCCATGGGGGAACACTGGGACTCTCTCCATCCCTCTCAGGTGAGGCAGGGATGTCCAAGGGCCTTTGCAAGGCCCAAGGGCTCTGGCTGGGCTCCAATTCAACCGCCTGGCAACGGAGTCTGCTCTTGGACTGGGGAGGGAGCTGAGGGGCGGGGAAAATGCCATTGATAGCCTTTGCAGAGTCAATGGGAAGGGAGCCCACTGTGTCCTTGGGAAGGGGCCCCTGGAGCTCTGTGCTGGGAGGGTGCCCTTCCAAGGATGCAGGCTTGCACTGTCCAACCCCAACATCAGAAGGACCCTCTGACCTCATTGCTGTTTGGGACGAAGTTGTATTGGACTTCCCTTCAACATGGTGTGAGCCCCTGGCACTCAGGTCTTCCCCTTCCTCCCCTTGCAGGGGAAGGGCCCCAGCGCAGGCACTCGCTGGGTCCTGATGGATGGCCATTCCACAGCTGCCTTCTTCCTGCGACTTCCCAGTGCCCCTCTTTTCCCTGCAGGGAGCAGAGCCCTCCAGCCTGACAAACCGATGAGGAAAAATGCCACGTCTCCCCCTCAGCATGCCCTCCAACCAGCCATCTTCCAGTGCCCCCACAATCTGGATTCTGTCTCCCACATCAAAATCCAGCTCCTGGGGCTCCAGCGCTTGGAACTGATAGAGGGCAATGCCATACGTGCCCAGCGGCTCCTCACTCCCTTCCTGCCCACCCTCCTCCTCGGGGGGCACATCTGCCAGGCCATTAACACTGTAACTCTCGGAGGGCCCCGGCCCCTCTGGGCCACCTGTCACTCTCAAGGGACCCAGCAGCTCCACGAAGCCCTCTGGGAAAATCCCGCTTCGACCTCCCAGCTCCCCTGTGAACCAGCCAGGCTCAGGGATATCGACAATGGTGATAACATCCCCTTCCCTAAAGTCCAGCTCCTCCTCCAGCTGGGCAGAGAGGCTCATCAAGGCTCGGGCTTGGCCCAGTGAGTCAGCAGGCACGTCCAGGACAGTGCTCTGAGAGAGCCGGCGGCCCCAGGGCGAGAGGCAAAGCTCCCGCACGCATGACGATGGGAAGAAGCCCCTGGAGCCCCGGCAGCTTCTACCCTGGAGCCAACTGGGGGCTAGGGAGCCACTCAGGATCACCAGGTCTCCTGGGGGAGAATGAGAAACACAGGGTCAGGGACTCACCTCCATGGCAATTTCTGAGTCTTTCCCCATTCCCCTTCCAGGCCTGGTTACCTCCTTCGCCAGCCCAGCCACGCAGAGTGCAGTGGTGGGGCACCTGAGCACACCTACATGGTAGTGGCCCAGCCCCACAGATGACACCAGGGCTGTGGGGCCACCTGTAGACCACCCCAGTGCAGCGTATGTGTATGAGAGATGGGGGCAGGACATGCAGAACTCAGGACGCAGGGTACGAAGCGGGCCTGAGTCCCGCAGGTGCAGAGGGGTAGGAGCACAAGGCAGCCTGTGGACCTAGAATCCACAGCTCTGTTAGGAAACCCCTCCTCAGCGCTGAGCTCTGGGTTCCCTCTATTTCCCCAGGCACATGAGTGACAGAAAGGGACAGGATGGGAGAGGGCAGGAGCCAACTGGAGGGAGCAGAGGTTACCTCTCTGCAGCGACAGGCTCCCTGGCTCCTGGGACGTGAAGTCATTAGTGCAGACAAACAGCTTCTCTCCCTGCTTCAAACTGGGAATATCCACTGCCTCCACAAAACTGCTCGGAAACTGCCCTAGAACGAGAAGCAGTTGTCAGCACATGGTCACCCCTTCCCCAGGGGCCCAGACTGGCTCCCCCATTCCCAACTCCTCTAAGATCCACCCCACCCCCCATCACCACCCAGCCTCCCCCGGGATCTACCTTGACTCCAGCCCCACCATCACTCGGACTCGTCCCGCCCCTCTCCAGGATCCCCTCTGGTTGGCCCCATGGCCCACAGAAATGACCATGGGTTTGGAAGTCAGGAGCTCTTGAGGATTTCTGAACACGTTCTTTATTATTTTTTAAGAAAAATATAGTACCCTCCCCCCTGCATGCCCAACAGACCAACCAACGCCCCAGGGCAAGGAGCAGCCCACTTGAATTACTGTGACCTCACTGTCACCAACACCCAGACAGGGAAAGCAAAAATATAATCTTTAGCCTCCATCTTCTGTCTTATGACAGGAAAGCCCCATGTCAGGATCAGGATGTACCGGTTATAAAAAGAGGCCCCAATCCTGCAATCGGACCTGCCCCCTGGGGTGCTGCAAGACTTGGGTTGTAAGCTACAAAGTGCTATGGTCATGAAAAACGTGCCACAGACAGTGAAATCTGGTCTTTTGTGTGCTTTCACCCTATACTATATGGATTTCATGGGGGAGGCCAGCGTTTCTCAAATTGGGGGTCCTGACCCAAAAGTGAGTTGCAGGGGGTCGCAATGTTATTTTAGGGGATCACGGTATTGCCACCTTTACTTCTGTGCTGCCTTCAGAGCTGGGCAGCCGAAGAGTGGTGGCTGTTGGCCAGGCACCCAGCTCTGAAGGCAGCGCCCCGCCAGCAGCAGCACAGAAGCATGGCAATACCAGACCATGTCACCCTCACTTTTGCACTGCTGCTGGCCGCGGCTCTGCCTTCAGAGCTGGGTTCCCGGCCAGCAGCTGCCGCTCTCCAGCTGTCCAGCTCTGAAGGCAGCACAGAAGTAAGGGTAGCAATACCCCAACCCACCCTACAATAACCTTGCAATCCCCTCACAACTCCTTTTTGGGTCAGAACCCCTACAATTACAACACCGTGAAATTTCAGATTCAAACAGCTGAAATCATGACATTTACAATTTTAAAAATCCTATGACCATGAAATTGACCAAAATGGACCGTGAATTTGGTAGGGCCCTAATTCCATGGGACAGGTTAGCAACATCTCCAGTGTTTAGTCAGGTGCTCAGATACTATGGTGAGATATGGCTCAGATACCGACAGGCTGATTACCATGATGAGGGAAACTGCCCTGTGCAGATGCTCTGGTAGCCAATAAAGTTGGGTTTACATATTTTTTTCTGGAAAAATCACAGGGATAATGAGCTGGATGCTCTCTTGACATCCTGACATGGTTCTTCCCAATTCAGTGTAATTCAGTGTGTCACTATCCTTAATCTGCAGCACCAGTGGCCTAATATGCACCTGAATTCTAACCAGGTTCTACTGCTGACTTCCTGTGTGATCTAGACCAAGTTTGTTCCCTGCTCTCTGCCTGGGTTTCCCTCCCTATGAATGGAAATAAGAATCCTGCTGCATCTCACACCAAGTTGTGAGGCTTCATTAATTAATTTCCATGTCATGTTAAGTATTATTATGGGTAAGTTGCAGCCTCTCCATTCTAAAGGTCTATTTTAGGCCCCCTATAACTTTTGGTTTGGAAAATTAGTTTAAAAATAGTCAGATTTGCTCAGAGAGAAAGCAGGAAATTCAAATTTGAGGGGGCGGGGGGGATAGCTCAGTGGTTTGAGCATTGGCCTGCTAAACCCAGGGTTGTGAGTTCAATCCTTGAGGGGGCCACTTAGGGATCTGGGGCAAAATCAGTACTTGGTCCTGCTAGTGAAGGCAGGGGGCTGGACTCGATGACCTTTCAAGGTCCCTTCCAGCTCTAGGAGATAGGATATCTCCATTAATTAAATTAATTAAATTAAATGGTTTTTCAGTTACAAGTCATTAAGAATTAGCCTGATTGACTTTTGTCTGTTTCTTCATCTTTGAGCTAGCAGGACACACCTGGTTACTGCCCCTTCACACTCTCCACAGCCATATCTCCTTAAGAATGCGGGTCCAGAGGGAAAGTACTGTGATTAAGCAGCTGTTGGTGATTTTCCTTGTAGACAGTTTGGGGCCAATGATGTCAGTAGAAGCAGGAGCAGGCTGACTGTGTGTCCATACATATGTGCACACATATTGCCCTCTGTTGGCCACCTGAGGCATAGTGAGAAGATAAGGGTTGTTCTGCAGAGGTCTGTGTGTTTGGAGCTGTAGGACCAGGACTCTGGGTCTTTGCTCTGTTACAAAGGAGGGGAAGTAGCCTCTCTAAAGTTAAGGCTGCAATCACAGTCCTATTCTAAGGTCGATTTGATTCCACTTTGTAACTAGACGAGAACAATCGTCACGTTTTGAGGTGATCTGGTTCCCATCTGACTGAGAGCTCGAATGTTCTCTCAATATTATTATTACACCGAGAAAGAGCTGTTGAGATTACGAGACTTTAAAATGGCCCTTTATGGGAATTTTGGAGCTTCCAATCTTTCTTTATGTCCTTTCAGGAGCCCAATGAAATCACATTCCATCCTGAGCTGGATAGGTCTAGATACCAGCCCGTGGGAGAGGGAGTTTTCAGAAGCAGAAATAGGCGGATGTTGAAGAGACTGTCATGGAGAGGCAGAAGAGCCCAGCAGGCAGGGCACGGGACCAGAGCTCCGGAGACTCGGGGTCTGTTTCTAGTTCCGCCACTGACCCGCAGGTCACTTCCCCTCTCTGTGCCTTTGTTTCCCTCCCACCCTTTCATGGCCTTGTCCAGTAGCCTGTGAGCTCGTCAGGGCAGGGACTGTCTCTCTCACTACATGTTGTACAGCACCTGGCACAATTGGGCTCCCACCTACTGAGGATTTGTCTGCACTCAGCGCTACTGAAAAAACAAGAACAAGAACAAGAACAAGGACTGTCTGAAGACTCGACATGAAGCTGACAGGAAAAAATTCTGAGCATCAGATACAGCCCAAGTGAGGGAAGACTCCACGATCTGGTCAAACAGCTCTGGCCCCTGTATTTGCCATCAGACTGGCCCTTGGCCGAGGGGGAATGTACCCAGATGGGGTAACTGACCTGCCTGAGGTTACCTAGGACAGTGGTTCTCAATCTTTTTCCACTTGCAGACTCCTAAAAAATTTTGAATGGTGTGGATCCCTTTGAAAACCTATTGTCTGTATCTACAGTTGAATTCTGTTCGGTTTTCAGTCTGTCTTTCGGGGACCCCTGCAGACCAGCAGTCCCCAAACGTTTTTGTCCATGTCCCCCCTTACCTGTTCTGCGCCCTCCCCGGAACCACGGTCAGGAGCCGGGGCCAGGAGCGGGGCTATGGCTGTGGCTGGGGCCAGGAGCCAGGGGCCGTGGCTGGGAGCGGGCCCGGGGTCGGGAACTACGGCCAGAAGCGAGCCCATGGTTGGGGCCAGGAGCCAGGGACCACAGCCGGACCTGCAGCTGCGGCTGGTGGAGAGAGCAGGGCTGGGTGGTGCTTCCTCCCTGCTCCCCTTGGGGCTGGCCTGGGCCCTGCCGTGCCCCCCCCAAATGTTCCTCCATGCCCCCTAGGAGGCGTTCCCCATAGTTTGGGGACCATGGCCTTAGAAATAGTCCGCAGACCACAGGGTGAGAATCACTGACACTAGGAAACCTCCATCTCTGTGGGTCCCGCTCAGCACCTTTCAGCTCTTACCTGTGACCCCCTCCTTCTTCCCAAGGAGCCAGAACTCGTCCACCACCCGCAGCACCTCTATGACGTCCCCCACAAACAGGGGCAGCTCTTCGGAGACGCTGGGGCAGAAATCAAAGACAGCTCGCACCACGGATCCAGCCTCCATTGCTCAGGATCTGCAGGACAGGACACAGACAGACTCAGTCCCTCAGGCTAGACACACGGCAATGACACAGAGTCGCCAGAGAGAGAGAGAGCAATGAGCATGGTGTAAATGCTGAGACAGACCAAACACTATCCAAGGAAAACGGGGCAATGACCACACAGGGGGCTCCGTGCCTGCACTCCCTCATCCCACAGGGACCAGAGCTCATTGCAGGGGGAGCTGAAGCCCTACAGCAAGGATGGCTAGCAGTGCTCTCTGGACCCTGGTGCCAGAGTGTGCACTTCTGCTGAACTCAGGGGAGATAATCGGGAAGAAGCAGAGAGAGATGCTGGAAATTAATTCCTGTCAGAAAGGAAATAAGAGGCGGGAGAGGAAGCTCACTGCTTCCCTGACACACCAGACTGGGCACAACGCCTGCCAGGAGCTGCACGAGGGACCTGCAGGCAGATAAACAGCAGCAGCAACTTTACCTTGCCTCTGACAGTCATATAGAAGAGGTACAGGGCGCCGCAACACCCACCCACGTACTGCAGAGCCATGGGGGGGTGATTGCAACATCCACCTGTGCACTGCCAGAGCCATGGGGGGCACAGGGCATCACCAGCCCGCATGCTGCCAGAGCCATGGGGGCACCGGGCACTGCAACACCTATTCACACACTGCCAGAGCCACGGGGGGCGCGCCACCGCCCACCTGTACACTGCCAAAGCCATGGGGGGAATGGGGCACTGGAGCACACACCTGTGCACTGCCAGAGCCATGGGGGGCACAGGGCATCACCAGCCCGCATGCTGCCAGAGCCATGGGGGCACCGGGCACTGCAACACCCACCCACACACTGCTAGAGCCACAGGGGGCACCGCAACACCCA